TCCGTCAGGGACCACGGCACCTTCATCAGCGAGATGCTTCTGAAGAACATGGTTCGTTTGACTACGGTCTCCTGGTAAAAGAATAGTTTCCTCGGTTTTACATGAACCAGATTGATTTGATCGAGTGTTCTAGTAGTTACCGTGCGGTGGTCGCGTCTCTCCATGCGCAGCCAACGCCAAGATAACAAATGGCGGCATTGACAGAACGGCAGTGCCCGTTGGATTGGCTGGAAGTTTTTCGCTCTTCGAAACGGCGAAGCAGATGAAGCTGAGCGCGGTTTGCACCGCGTGGGACCGGTTGATGGATGCACAGTACTTTGTTCCCGTATGCGAAAAAAATCACAACACATACGCACCAGAGCTCAGGTTATGTCCTTCGCTGTGCGGCGGCGTACAAAAGTTTCCGCCCTGGCACGCAGCAGTGTTATTGCGCGGTTTAAGGGCTGAATGGCTAGGGAATGGCTAGGGAAGAACGCTGACTTGGCGACGCCTTGCAGTATCATCCACCATCCACTATGTGACTTTGTACCGAACCGGAATCCGATTGCGTCTGAGATATGGAAACTTATGCTGCACATTGGCTGCCATGTCGAGTCCGGGCCTAATGTCGACTACAGCGACAATTTCGAATGTGATTCACATCAGCCAGGTTTCAGAACTGTTGTATCGGATGGAAATCTTGATTGAATCAAGGATTTATATTTCATACGCGTGCTGCGTTTTTTTTTGGGCTGAATTTCTTTTTCTCCGATTAAACGAGTCATTCGGGTGTTGGAAGTTCAAATGGTGCGAGCTGTGCAACTGCCGCTTGGTCAGGATTCCTCTGGACATTGTGGGATGCATTGGACACATATATGGGAGTGCCGCTGCAGAGCGAACAACAACTGGAAAATTGTTTTCCCTGGCTTTTACCGGACATGCCTTGCGGTATGAGTTTCGATTATTCTGTCTGCAGCGTAATTTTTTAACTGTATTAGCCATCGGGTTTAAATTCCGTTTTGCCTTAGTTTCTGTGCAGATGGTGTGAGCGGCGCAGTCGGCTTGTTCGCGTCCAGCGTCGCATTATCGCGGGAAAAATTGGTGCGTGGACGGACTGTAAGGATCGAATCCGGGGAAGTTGTTGCCTGCTTTTTCTCTTTGATCGCGGATCGCCTTTACGACTGTGGCGCTAATGCAGCAGACGTTTGGCTAATGGACGGTGCCCTTTGTGTGGTAACTGTTGTTTTTATTCAGAGCTCTCACTAGCGATGTGCACTTTTTTCTGGTGCAGAATTGCAGTATTTCAACTATTTCATTCGATGGATTCGCAACAGGTTGTGTGTGTTTCTTTACTTTAGATGGCTACCCGTTGCGCTTGCAAATGTGCCGCTTATTGTGTTGGGTAAATCATCCGTTTACTGTTCTTGTGTGATCAAACGCAACCACACTTCGATGTACTGTGACTGAATGAAAGAACAGGTCTGTTTATGGGGAAGATTTCTCTGATGGGAGAAATCTGTTGATAAACGCCCACCTGAACTTGCAGCCTCTCTTTGCCCTTCAACCGCTCGCCTACCTCCTACTACGCCGGATCCGGGTTACTTGCGCCGCTAAGCCTATAAAAGCCCCTGCACACCGGCTGCCGGCTTCATTATTGCAGCTAGTTACTTGCAAAATTTTTGCACTTTGCAAAAGTTTTCGTTTCACGTAGTGAATCACGCAGATAATCGTTATGGCACCTTCTGCTTCCGACTATAAGAATATGTCACTTTCCGCTCTGAGAGCCGCCTGTAAAGACGCCGGTTTATCTGCCAAAGGGGGAATCACCACCCTTGCCGACCGCCTGATTGATCATTTCTACCCGAAAGATCAACCACTTGTCCGTGCCGGCCAGCAACGCCAAGAACCAGCTCAGCCACCACGAAGCCTTGCCGAAATGGGCCTCAGCCAAGAGACAATCGCAGCACTCCAGGAAGAGAACATCACCGAACCATCTCACCTGCCATTGCTGCTGTCGGAGGACATGGACACGATCGTTAAGAAGATTGGTGACCGCCGCCGCATTAAAGAGTTCCAAGCCTATGAGCCCCGCGTCGCTGCCCTAAAGGTCATCAGCGACGCCAAGCACAAGCGCAACGTTATCGTGGATGGCGACGCCGGGAAACCATCGAAGGCCAAAAAGCAGCGCCGCTCTCGCTCTCCCTCACGCTCTAGCAGCCGTTCCAGCTCCACTTCGTCCTCCCGTAGCTCATCCCGCTCATCCAGCAGCAGCTCTTCCAGTTCGGCCAGTGGTAAGTCCCATAACCAGGCATCCTGGTCTGATCTGAGCACGGAAGCCCGCACGTTGCGCCGCCCACATAAGTTTGTGTTTGCCCAAGCCAGCCTGGGTGCCAACGGAAAGGTCAAGAGCAAGCTCAAATGGTCCGATTTAACGCTGGATGAATTCTGGGCGGGTAACATGGAAACGCTTAAGCGCCTTCTGCAATCGCCAAACCCAAAGCACCTAAAAACCGCCCAAGAATTCGCCGACTACCTGGACTACTTGGCTCAGAAGCGCAAGGATTATTATGCCCGCAGCATCCTTGCTTTCGACCAGGACTTCCGCTCCCGCGCCAAGCATCAGCATTGGGCTTTGGATGACGTGGCGAAGCGAGAGAATATCGCCGCAGCCCATTTCCACGCCGCCAGCTACTGCCGCCACTCTATTGCGGGAACAAATGCACTGGTTCCTTCCACGTCGACTGCCAACGCCGCTATGCCAGCCAGTGGTCATGCACGCAACGGAAACTCGTCGGCGCCCGTGTGCGGGCGTTTCAACAAAGATGGCTGTCCTGGCTGCAATTATCGCCATGAGTGCTACAAGTGCAAACAACCAGGTCATGGCCGCCAAAATTGTCCGCAATTGCGCCACACTGCCACCGGATCTAACTAGCCGACTGCTTGTTTTTCTGGGCCACTGATTGTCTGTCGCGATGGAATCCGGGTTAAGGGCATTATACAGGTCAAACCCCTAATTTCTTGGCATGTCCTTTTGTTTAAGAATCGTGATAGTAATAATGACTGTCTGCTAACCTAAATAATTACATCCTTGTGCGATTGTCTTAAGCCAGCCTAATGCATGCTACAGAACTGTCATATGAAATTTATTCGAATCGCTTTCAAGCGCATTGTAGATTTCTAATTGGAATGCTGTTTACACTGATTGTCGAAGTTGGTTATGGCACTTTATGAAATATGTTCCTTAACACGAAGAATAAATAACTGGGATAGCCTTTTGCGTGACGATTTTGATCGGAATTTTATTCTTAATGGGCTAAAATGCGGTTTTAAAATTGTTGAAAATTTTGATGCTATAAGCCCAGCCGAATGTAAAAACTATGCCAGTGCTCTGTCCGAACAAGCAAAACCTTTCCTGGATAAACTTTTCTTAAGCGGGCTCACCGCCGGTAAAATATCTCACCAGCAAATAAAGCCAATACGCGTGCATGCCACAGGCGCCATACAGAAAGCCAACTCAGACAACTTCCGCCCAATAACCGACTGCAGTCGACCTTTTAGTGATAGCCTAAATTCGCACATCTTCCCAGATAAGTTTTCTCTGCAATCGGTTGACGATGCACTGAAAAACAGCAGCTATGCTTGCCATTACGCACTCGTCGACATAAAGTCCGCCTATCTCCATGTCCTGGTGTACCCGCCTCACAGACAGTTACAAGGATTTGCCTGGAGTTTTGATGATAAGCCCGAATCTTACTTTGTGGATAATTTCCTATGCTTTGGATTGTGCATAGCGCCTTTTATTTTCTTCCGCCTGTCATCGGCCATTGCACGCATGGTGAGACGGAAAGGTCACAGAATTATATGCTACCTCGATGATTTTTTGCTCATTGGCGCCACTAACCTAATCTGCCAGGCCGCTCTAGAATGCCTTCTTGCCACGCTTAAGGAGCTAGGGTTCGAAATTAACTGGGAAAAAGTGATTTCACCTACGACCCGCATACGCTTTCTGGGAATCATCCTGGACTCGGTAAAACTTACCGTAGAACTGCCGCAGGACAAGTTGTGCACACTGACCGCGCAAGTTGAAGAGATCATGCACAAGTCAAAAGTCACCAAAAGAGAACTGCAGCAGCTAGCCGGTCGACTCAATTTTGCCGCAAAAGCCATTTATGGTGCCCGTCCTTTCACTCGTCTCTTTATTGACGCTCTGAGGCCGCTAGCCCGCCCAAGTCACCGCACTAGGCTTACGGTAACGTTGAAATTTGAACTACAATGGTGGTACGAGATTTCGAAAGCACTGAATGGCCTTTGTCCATCATTGTTGTCGCCCCCACGCGAAACTGTCTTCATACGGACAGACGCGTGCCTTGCCGGATTCGGTGCCACGTTTGGGAGTCACCTACTTGCGGGTTCGTGGCAACCTTATGAGCCAGCCGCAAAACTGCAAAAGATTTGAGCCGCAACGCCGCTTGTTGAAGCTCCACTGCTAAACAACATAAATTTTTTAGAGCTGGTCGCCGCCTGCTTGCCGCTGCTTATTTGGGCTCCGCAACTATCCGGCTTCCGTGTTGTCATTGAATCCGACATCACACAAACTGTTGCTTTTATTAACCGCGCATGTTCAAAAAATCAATATGCGCTGTCTTGGCTTAAACTTGTCTTTTACGCCTCACTCGCGTACGATTTCCGGGTTGCTGCAGCGTACTTACCGGGCAAGGCTAATGTTGTGGCCGACGCCTTGAGTCGCCATACGCTCGACCCCGCGTTATTGCAATCGGCACTTCCACAGGGTATAGGGTCGGTGCGCCCCTTACCACCAGGCTTCCTTTTCAGGTACCCAAACGCGACGATTGGACAAACGGCTGCGCAAACTGTGGAAAGCCTCACTCGCGCCCTCCTCATTGCGCACGAGAAAGTGCCAGTGGCAAGCCTACCGCCGGTTTTGCAAAAGCATTTCAGCGCGGCCATATCCGGCCACGATTAAAACGCTATGCCGCTATATTGCCCACCTCTCTCCGAGGATGCAGTTTACCTCCATAAACAACTATCTGGCCAGCGTGGTGTCGCTTCATCACGCGAAGGGATTTGAAGCACCAGATCTCGGTCATTTCCGCATCCGACAGACACTCCGTGGTGTTCAGCGAAAGAAAAGGCAGACGCCAAATGCTCGATTGCCTATAACACCGGAGATCTTGTATGCCATTAAACGCCACCTGTCTGTTCTGCCCAAGCAATGCCGGAAAGCCTTCTGGGCAGCCGCCTTGTTTGCTTTCTTTTCTCTCCTTCGCAAAAGTAACTTGCTGCAGTTTAGTGGAAACAGCAAATACTTGCGAGTCAGTGGGATAAAACGCACCGCCTCCGGCCTTGAGATCACTGTGCCGCAGATTAAAACAACAGCACATGCCTCGAAGATGATAACGCTGCCGTTGCCGCGGGTAGCCAATTCCCCGCTTTGCCCGGTACAGGCATTCTCCGCCATTGAGAAAAAGGTCATGAAACACCCGCATGCGTCGCCGTTCTCTATCAAAACCGCAAACCGGAAACTGGAACCGCTGACCGCAAACAAGTTTCAGCGCTTTCTGAAAAACCTCCTTAAAACCGCCGGATATGATCCCCGCCGCTACTCGCTGCACAGTTTCCGTAGAGGTGGTGCCACCTTTGCGGCTGCCGCCGGCGTGTCACCGGATGAACTGAAAGCTCAGGGCACTTGGGCCAGTCAGTGCTTTGAACGTTATGCGGACCGCACTCGAGACCTTCGATCCCACTTCGCCGAAACGGTATCGACCAGTTTGGGGGATTTTGGGCGTCCTTAGGGCGCTTCGCACCGTGTTGTTGTTGGCACTTCGGTGCCCTTTCGTTCCCCCCATGTCTGTAGCGATTCTGTCATGTATTGTGTTAACGAAAATAAAGTGAGGTACCAGCGTTTATTAGAGAAGTAAATAATCATTTGCACAGAAAAGTTGGCGACTCCGGACACTAGTTGGCATTCATTTACCGTATTGCTCGCTGTTTCAAAATTAACCAGCGAATTAAAAACCGGAGTAAAACTGAACTTGGTACAAAAATACCAATTACTATTCATTAGGGAAAAATTAAGCATTATGCGCATGCAATGGAATTAGTCCAGCTCTGTGGGGCAATTTCAAATTAACGAAACATGACAGTACGCTATAATTCCTTCGCAAGTGCAAATTATGTTTGTTATGCTACATGCGCAGAACTAAGATATTAGAACTAGGAATTTAGTTTTGCCAGAAAAGCAGAATAGTTGCGGAGTGCTCTCCCGGTCGTCAAGAAGGTTAAGCGTGATTTCGCTTTTCTTACATCTGAATGATCTGATAGTCAGCTGTTTCTAAAATCTTGACACATATTGTACTATTTTGAAGAAAAATCAGTTATTGCTTGCCAAGAATGCAAAGCGAACACAGTGGCTATAATTTTAGATAGTGACCACTAAGGCCTTGTCCCGAATTCGAAGCGAATCTCGTTATGGTACGGTTGCTCAACCGCACGAGGTGGCTGTATGCAGTGGCCACGCCTACAGATACGGTACGCGAAGGCACCTCGCGAGGTGGAGTTGCTGTATCGAAACGAGATTCGGTTTGAATTCGGGACGAGGCCTAAAACGAATTACGCTTCTTAACTTTGTGGGGGTGGGGGTTGCAAATATGCCATATTACGTTCATATTATTTTGACTTCTAAAACCGGCTGCCATTGCAAGATGGATAGCCTACTACAAATGACGGGCCTCCTATTCGCTTTACAGTCAGCGATACGGCAGCCAACAAACTGCACTCGAGGCTTCATTCAGTTTTTTTTTGGACGCTCAACTTAAAACAGTTTTATAAGCGGACCATCTCTACAGATAGTACACATCGCACTAGTAGAATTAGTCGGTTATTATGACAAGTGCAAATATAGATTATTCGAAATTCTGCATTGTGCAGACGAACGGTAAGTTTCTTGAAAACGTCACAGAACTGAGCTGCATACGTCGGAAAAGGTGACATTCGAAAATTTTTTACCATTAATTTCGCTTCTTTGTGAACTGTGTTTCTAGCTTGTGCATCGAACTAGAAATTTTACTGGCTCGTTCAATTGTAGCGATTTCCCGCGTCAACAACATTATCCTGAGATGCTATGCTAAAGCGGTCGTAATACAGCGAACTGAACTTGTGAAGCCGTCACGCACTGTAGACAGTGGAAAAGTGGCGGACGTGCGCGGCGTTCGGGATGACGATTCGGAACAGCCAACACGAGGGCCTGCCCGCGACGAGCAGCCACGCCGTGTGGGCAGTGGAGATGTGGCGAACGTGCGCGGCGTTCAGGTTGACGGTTCGGAACAGCCAACACGAGGGCCTGCCTGTGACGAGCAGCCACGCCGTGTGGGCGGTGGAGATGTGGCGGACGTGCGCGGCGTTCAGGTTGACGGTTCGGAACAGCCAAGACCAGGGCCTGCCTGCGACGAGCAGCCACGCCGTGTGGGCGGTGGAGATGTGGCGGACGTGCGCGGCGTTCAGGTTGACGGTTCGGAACAGCCAACACGAGGGCCTGCCTGCGACGAGCAGCCACGCCGTGTGGGCAGTGGAGATGTGGCGAACGTGCGCGGGGTTCAGGTTGACGGTTCGGAACAGCCAACACGAGGGCCTGCCTGCGACGAGCAGCCACGCCGTTTGGGCGGTGGAGATGTGGCGGACGTGCGCGGCGTTCAGGTTGACGGTTCGGAACAGCCAACACGAGGGCCTGCCTGCGACGAGCAGCCACGCCGTGTGGGCAGTGGAGATGTGGCGAACGTGCGCGGGGTTCAGGTTGACGGTTCGGAACAGCCAACACGAGGGCCTGCCTGCGACGAGCAGCCACGCCGTGTGGGCGGTGGAGATGTGGCGGACGTGCGCGGAGTTCAGGGTGACGGTTCGGAACAGCCAACACGAGGGCCTGCCTGCGACGAGCAGCCACGCCGTGTGGGCGGTAGAGATGTGGCGGACGTGCGCGGCGTTCGGGTTGACGATTCGGAACAGCCAACACGAGGGCCAGTCTGTGACGAGCAGCCAAGCCGTGTGGGCGGTAGAGATGTGGAGGACGTGCGCGGCGTTCAGGTTGACGGTTCGGAACAGCCAACACGAGGGCCTGCCTGCGACGAGCAGCCACGCCGTGTGGGCGGTAGAGATGTGGCGGATGTGCGCGGCGTTCAGGTTGACGGTTCGGAACAGCCAACACGAGGGCCTGCCTGCGACGAGCAGCCACGCCGTGTGGGCGGTGGAGATGTGGCGGACGTGCGCGGCGTTCAGGTTGACGGTTCGGAACAGCCAACACGAGGGCCTGCCTGCGACGAGCAGCCACGCCGTGTGGGCAGTGGAGATGTGGCGAACGTGCGCGGGGTTCAGGTTGACGGTTCGGAACAGCCAACACGATGGCCTGCCTGCGACGAGCAGCCACGCCGTGTGGGCGGTGGAGATGTGGCGGACGTGCGCGGCGTTCAGGGTGACGGTTCGGAACAGCCAACACGAGGGCCTGCCTGCGACGAGCAGCCACGCCGTGTGGGCGGTAGAGATGTGGCGGACGTGCGCGGCGTTCGGGTTGACGATTCAGGAGAGCCAACACGAGGCCAGTCTGTGACGAGCAGCCACGCCGTGTGGGCGGTAGAGATGTGGCGGACGTGCGCGGCGTTCGGGGTGACGATTCGGAACAGCCAACACGAGGGCCAGTCTGTGACGAGCAGCCACGCCGTGTGGGCAGTGGAGATGTGGCGAACGTGCGCGGGGTTCAGGTTGACGGTTCGGAACAGTCAACACGAGGGCCTGCCTGCGACGAGCAGCCACGCCGTGTGGGCGGTGGAGATGTGGCGGACGTGCGCGGCGTTCAGGGTGACGGTTCGGAACAGCCAACACGAGGGCCTGCCTGCGACGAGCAGCCACGCCGTGTGGGCGGTAGAGATGTGGCGGACGTGCGCGGCGTTCGGGTTGACGATTCAGGAGAGCCAACACGAGGGCCAGTCTGTGACGAGCAGCCACGCCGTGTGGGCGGTAGAGATGTGGCGGACGTGCGCGGCGTTCGGGTTGACGATTCGGAACAGCCAACACGAGGGCCAGTCTGTGACGAGCAGCCACGCCGTGTGGGCAGTGGAGATGTGGCGAACGTGCGCGGGGTTCAGGTTGACGGTTCGGAACAGTCAACACGAGGGCCTGCCTGCGACGAGCAGCCACGCCGTGTGGGCGGTAGAGATGTGGCGGACGTGCGCGGCGTGCAGATCGACGGTGCGCAGCAGGTCGAACGGGTGATGCGACATGGAGGGACTTTCCAGACCTATATTATCAACTCTAACGACATTCCTGAAATTCTGCGGCGAATTTATCATCGACAGTCCCACTTTCGCCGTTGGATGTAGGTAGCGGCTTATAATAACCTTAGGTTATTAACCTACATACTACCAAATCTTGATCCCTGTCAATTTGCAGGACCGGCGAGTCGGACGGTCGGGGCGAGATCTATAACGTAGTTTATCGTAAGTTGAGACAAAGTAAGAGGGACTTTCCTAACTTGGATTCTTGGATTTCTGACTGCGAGATGATCCTTCGAGGCAACGGGCGAAACTCATGCATCGTCGAATCAGGAGCATATACGCTGCACCAGCGTGGCTCGGTCGGCAATCCAGAGGCACCCATGATTGCTATCGATTCGGAATTTCTTGAAAACCGAGACCCCTGGAGCTCGGGGTTCCGTGCCTGCTGCTAATGAGCGAAGTAGGCAATTTCTGCTTTTTTTCCAACAGCAGCAATATAATTTTTTGTGTACCTTTGTGATGCGATTTGAATTTGGCTATTTTACAAAAGTCTGATGTTTTAATTTACTATTGGCAGTGATAAGCTGCTCAAGCTGTTTATTTTTCTTTTTGCATAAACTTTCCATGTGGGCATAGATTTTGTAGAAAGCATTTTGTGCGGCAGTTTCGCATGCAAGTTATACATGCTGCTGCCTACGTGACTCTAGACATTTCATGTAGTCGCCCTCTAGGCTGCTAATTCGGCAGAGTGATAGAAATATTGATTCACACAATGCAACGGTTCGGAACAATGGTCATATGGTAGTGTTATTTCTTCCGTACCGTTCTGCACTGGTACGGTGTTTGTTTTCGAATTGTTTTCGAATTTACCTTTGGCTTTACATCGCGTAAGCGTTTTGGGTTTCGTTTGGTAACTTAGCTGCCATGGATGCACTGGTGCTACCTACTCAGGTAATAAATGTCCGTCCACTCCTAGTTAATTTAATTGGGAGCATATGTAAGTTAATGCGACCCACACGGATCACAATTTCTTTAGGAGATTACGCTAAGATTTGTCAGACGTCGATTCGCACGCATAGCGGTTGCTGATGATCTCTTCTGCCACCTCGCACTAGCGCAACTAGGCGGCTTCGCTGCCCAAGAGCTATCCGCCGGTGAGCGAAAACTTATTTTCGTGTTAGTTTGCAGCAGTGATCGTTGGCGTGCCACAAAATTTACCACACTGACTGTAGATTGATGCAGGCGTCGCCACGACTAGGCAACTCATTTTTGTGCAGGCATTTTTCACTTCCAAACAACTGTGTAGTGGGTGACCCGTTCATTGTGCATTGCATGGTGTTTGGCACTGGTGTTTGTGTTTGGTTTTAATTGTGATTGGCATTGCTTGTGTTTGTCTTAATGATAACATGAAAATTGGTGTTAATACAGACATCTGAACATCTCTTTCAAGGTACTCAGGGTTCGCAAGCACTTTTATAACCGTTATATATGCTAATTTTGTGGAACTACTACAGTATCTCTATATATTAATA